ATATTAATCTAAACGGGAGCGGGAACGTACTGACCTTATAAACAAAATTTATCTGAAACTCTCTGAAGTTTGCACTCTTATTGATATTCAGCTATCTTCTTGAAGTAATACTTCTTTAATTACATATTTTTATCCCTTAAAATCTATTGAAAAGGGCATCACCTATTTATATGGACAGTTTGGCCGCCATATATGATCCTTATCAATTTTAGACAGTGTCTTACTAAGCTAAGTGTCCAGTGATAAGGATTTTACGTTGCCGCGTCGTTACTCCTCCAAGGTCTTATGAAGATTAGTCACCAAGGAATTATTTAAATGGATAATTATTGGAGAAATTCGTAAATCTTTTTTCGTATCCTAATTTAACTTGCCACTTTAGATGCTATTTGTCTTTTAACCATAACACTCAATTTCTGTACGGTAGAATGTCGTAAAATAAAATTCAAAAGAGTTTTTAGTAAAATTAAGAAGAAATAGTTAGGAAGAAAATTCCCAATTTTGACTGAAATATAATCATTTATTTAAATTGCTATTATAAATTTATTATATTTGTATTTAGTCTTAACAATTAGACCGGATTTTGGGGCGTTACAGACTCTTTCCATGCTTACCTCTCGGGTTGGTACATTAACTTCAAAGGTAATACGGAGTATAAGCGAATTTAACTATGTCCTTTCCAATACAATTGTTTGGAACCTTTGGAAGTTTGGTAACAACATTATTCATGATAACAAACATGTCATTTTTCCTGAGGCAATTTATACTATAAAAAATGATGTTTTTGCCATTTCTCACGCCAAACCTTTCATCACTACTGAACCAAGCACCTCTTTCACCATTTGCACCAATGATCCCCAAAAGACTAGAAAAGCCCCCAACGTCAAGTCCTGGACAAAACCGCCCCCAAACTACTACAAAATCAACATTGCTGTTAGGATTTTGACCCCAAAACTCACCAGGACTGCTGCCCTCATTCATAATGAGCTTGGCAATTATGTTTCTCACATGACGCACATCTCTAGAAACCAGGATACTACACTTCATCCTATGGCGCAATTATTGATACTATTAACATCCAAAGTACTAATGTTACTAATTGTATTCTTGAAGTTGATAATAGGAACATATATGAGGATTGAGGGCCTCATTGGAATAAATGCTCAACATTGAAAGCTCTGGCCTAGACTTAATGAAATCAAAAGACGACTTAGACATTATAATTGTGTGATCACTTGCATCCACCCCAGGGTCAACTGTGCCGCAGATTACATAGCTCAAAGAGTATCTCTATAAATGCCATGGATCATCAATTTAATCATTTTGTTGGTATTTTAAGGTTTGACGCTATTAGTTATCCATATGTATTTGATACCGAGTAGGCTTTGGTCTAATCCTCCTAATCTCTATACGATTTGTTTATCATAATAAATAGTAGGGTGTTTCCTGGCCCCTACCCCAAGAAGCTTTCGTGTATATATATATATATATATATATATATATATATATATATATATATATATATATATATATATAGAGAGAGAGAGAGAGAGAGAGAGAGAGAGAGTCCCATTCGAGTCAGGAAGGCCTGACCGGAAGCCCCGTGCGGCCTTCCCCTTTTGGGGACCTTCCCGGTGGAAGTTTTTGATGAAATTTTTTGAGCATGTTCCTCATCAAGTCTAGTTTATCCATACCAAATTTCAGCTCAAAATTCGACCGGGAAGACAGTCAAATAATTTCTTGAAACATACTGCACTTTATATATGCGCAGAATGCCCAGTATGTTTCAAGAAATTATCTCTTAAGGTCACTTAGGGCGTACTCACCACAATTTAATATCTTTGGATTAGTTCTAACGATTATTCGAACTATCCTTCCGACTAGTATTTCAATACTAGTCATTTGACCTTAGTACAACCAAATTCTTAATTCATAGTCATTTGTTCATTTCAATTTAATTCCCCATCCAAGTATAATTTGACTTTAATATCAAAATGTCACTTTTATCCTTTCATGACTTCTTTACATGAAGTAAAAGTACATTAATCACAATAAAGTTTATGGTTAAAACAACCATTATGCCATCATATTTATAACACATAATCATACACAATTTATTCATAAATTCGACTATTATGCATTCTTTACTTATAAACAATAATAATTTCATTTAGGCATTATTAATCATTAATAATCCATGCCAAACACATCTAATTCATTTAGGTAATCTTATGAGATTAACCCAATAATTATAAGCAATATAGTCGGTCATCCTCACCTCGAATTAGCGCTATGAAATTCTACCCCTCGATTGAACTCCGGCGAAACTCCGGCGACTTTTGACGAACTCCGGCGACTCTTTCAACTTTGTGAAAGATCTTGAAATACCTCAATCAAGTTTCTAACAAGGTTTTAACATCATAAAACCTTAATCAATACAAATAACCTCTTAAAGGTTATTTTCTGGCGAGCCGGTCGTTTTAGCTTCTAAGTCCATTCTTGGACTTAGAACGACTTTTCAACCCCTTGCTCTACATTTATCAACATGTATAATAATCCAAGGGTTCTTCATAAAATCCTCAAATAATAATATATTCAAGAAAATAAGAAGAAAAGGTAATCTAAGCCATTACCTAGTTTTTCCTTACTTTTAGCACTTAAACTCCTTTCTTAAGCTTCCTTCTTGTTTGAGCTCCTTCTAACAATGGAGAAAAAGTGGCTGGAGAGTTTCTTGTCTTTCCTAGCTTGGTGTGGGTTGACCGAAAATGAGGAAGGAAAAGGGGTGGAGATAACCCTTTTATCTCATTGATCAAATGAGTGTGGATGGGGTTCACCTCATTTTTGTTTGATGCCTTTTCCTTCAATTCACAATCCTCTCCCATGCTCTCCTATCATACCAGCCGACCAACCTCCTTATTTGAGTGGCTAAATTCGTGGGTTGGCCCCCACTAATGTGGGAGGTCAACCCTTTTTGTCCAGAAGTGTACATTCGGCCCCGAAAGTTGTATTTCTCGGACTGTTTTAATTATATTTTATTTTATCGAGTAAAATAAAATATATTACTCACTCTCAATCATAATGACCCTTTGAAATAATATATATTCCATAACTTTATTTTAGAAGTCTCCGAAATTTATTTTCGGGCTGTTATATGTTAAATTACCAATACCGGTATTTGGGCCTCTTTTGACCAATCGGTCAACTCTGGGCCTTTCCATGGCCCAAATGACATATCCACCACCATATAAATATTATCTAGACCAAGATGAATAAAATATGTGGTTTCAGGAATATTGGGTGGTCCCCGCTCCCGGTGTGGGTCCCACATGCGATTTGCTATTTACGCGAAAGAAGTAATAAAAATTTACAACTTCGTAAATTCAATGATCATTACATAAGGTTCAATACATTAATTACTTTAAAGTAAATATAATTGGGGACGGTGTTACAATTAGTGTTTAAATAGATTTATAAATTGCACTAAAACAGTTTAAATTTTAAGATAAATAAAATTATTCCTATAATTTATGAGTTATTGACGGGCTCGAGTCCAGATTAAACCAAATATCACTATGCTCGAACTCGGCTTGAATAACTATTCAAACTCAAAATCTAGCCTGTGTTCGAGTTAGAAAAAAGCTCGTTAAGTTCGGTTCGTTAAATTAAATTTGAAAGCAGGCTTGAACTTGAGTAGTTTGAAAAGGCTTGGTTCGATAACAACCCTAAGCTAATCCTTTTGTCTGCGGCAATAATTTTTTTTCTCTTAGCTCACCTCACTCTTTATTCCTGGATCCGCCCCTGAATAGAAGTGACTATCAATTCAGCAATTCAAATTCCACTAACATTCAACAATTCAGTTCCAAATGGAACAACCCACATCAGGAAAACGACTTGAAAAAATATATTATTGTCCAGCTTGTACCCAAGAAAAGAGTTTTAGCATTTTTAATGAGAGCTAATCTTCCATTCAAATCTTCACCCAGATATCTATCTTCAACCCATAATTGTTAAGGAGCTTCATATTGCAAAATTTTGCGGGTTCTCTTCTTGTAGAGAATACGGTATCCGCATTCACAACATTGAATCACATCTGCCGTCTTCAGTGGGTTCTCATGCCCACAATCTCTACAAATGTAGGTGACGTGTTCTATTATATTACAGCTGCTGGAGGCCTGGTGCATCGACTTTTGTTCTTAATAAAGCTATTCAAGAATTTTTCTTTTCTGTTTTTCTTGAAACGTTTTCATTTCTATTTAAAATAATAAATATATGGTTAAAGTTAATTTCATCTTATCTGATTTGCATAATTTTAACCACACCATTGTGACTTTATTATTGCACGTGAAAGTCAACTTTGGTCTAACTTTTTATAACGGATGGAGTAATAATATTAATATATAGACATGATATAATTAATTGAGTGTGATCTTTTTTATATTATTAGTAATATATGACATTTAATAATAATTACTTCCTCCGTTCTTAAATAAATGCAACAGTCAACATTTCACATTTGCTGAAGCACAACTTTGACCATTAATATATATATTTCTTGATTAGTAAAAAAAATTAAAAAATTAGATTTTGAAAATTTACAATGAGACAAATTTAACAATGTTTTTCCAAAAATATATATTAATACATTAATAAATAAAACATAGTCAAAGTAGAACATGTGAATAGTGTAAAAGTCAAAGTGTTGCATTTATTTAAGAACAGGGGTAGTACTAATTATTACTCCGTCGTATTTTTCATAGAACCCTGGTAGCTGAATTAGTCACACTTGAATATAATGTGATACTCTATATTTTTATTTTTTAAATCAGAACATTTCATTATTTTTTCCTTTTTTTATGTGTCTAAATGAATACATATTTTTTTTATGTTTCTAATTTTTCAATTGCTGTATTTATCTTTATTGCATTTTTAATGTGTCATTCATAGGTTGTAACTATTAATTACATATTTACATAATCATTATTATTATTATTATTATTATTAATTATGGAGTTATTACATGATTCATTAATTAAGACAACATTTTTTCACCTGCAAAGATGTAATAAATTAGTAATACCATACATACAAAGTAATAAATTAGTCTTTATTAATGAAAAACCCTATGTGACAAAATAGATCTTTATCACCGTAAAAAAACCTAGGGATGAATTATATTGGATGGAGGGGCGGGTAACTAATACTCTATGTAATCGGATGGGATGAAGGCGGTGCTAATTAATAATATATAATAATGATATTAAGCCAGTTTAGAGGGTGCGAAGGTAAGTAGCTTCTTCTCCGTGGCACGGGGCTTGACCATAACTTCCGCATCGAACGTCTTGGTGGCGCCGGCGGATGTTGTGGCGGTGATGCGGAGGTAATATTTCATTCCGGCAACCACCTGCTTCTCGGCCTTGACGACCTCAGAGAAGGTGATGGAGCCGCCATTATCGCTGCCCTCGACTTTCAGCCCCTTGTTATACTCTGCCACGCAGTATTTCCCCAATTCCTGGACTTGCTTGTTCGCCTTTGCATCAGCAATCTCCGTTCTTCCGCCCACTTGCCCATTCGCCATGGCTACCAGGGAAGCTACAGCCAACGCGAGGAGCCCAACCTTATTCGCCATTTTTTTTTTGTTTCTTATTTATTTATTCGGTTGTATGTGTACATACACTCAATCAAGGATGAAAGTGATGAGGGTCCTTATATATATATACGGATCGGAGTGTATATATATATATATGTAAGTTTGTGGAAGAGCAAGTTAAGAGGGGCGATATGCATGTTAATCCTCTTAATAATAAAGAGCAACTAAATAGCAAGAAAGAGGTTAAAGTATCACCACACAAACAAGGGGCCGGGTACACAATTACTCTCTTCCTCCCAAATTCTTGATTAACAAAGTGTGATACACTAATTCATATAACCTTTAATTTTACTTCATAAAAAGGAGGATAAGATTGGCAATCTACTTTCATTTTCTTACCAAAAAGGGAAACATAACTATCGTTTTGGGATAGCCCAAATAAGAAACGCTACAGGACAATCATTTTGAAACGAAGGTAGTACTAATTATTAATCACACATATTTTCTAAAATGTAACCCCAATTAAATTCATAGCTACAAATGTGATTAAAGTGACTATCAAACTAACATCATAGTCACTATAATGTGAAAGTAAATAGGGAAATTGTCCTAAATATATAGGAGTATATATACAGGTTTATAATTTCAAAATACGGTTGCAATGTTTTTCTTCCCAAATATGTGTTGTTACAGCCATGATTAAAAAAAAAATACTACAAGTAATGGCACTAAATACATATTTTCATGTTAATGCCTAGTACCACAACTGTTTGACAATAATTATGACTCCAAGATAGCAGTAAATACTGTCATATTACTCCTAATTCAGAGAGAAAAACATAACAATCTTATTTTGGAATTGCAAAACATGTTTACTCATATTCTATGAACTTTACCAACTAAATATAATCACAGTAATAAAACGTTATTAGTACCATCCTTATATATAAAATGACACATTTTAACTCATCGCCTTTATTTTAATAATATAAGTAGCCCCATGACGTAGTCAAACAGATTTGAACTGGTATATTTTAATTTAATATAAAAGAGATAACATATGGAAAAAAATATTAACGGTCATACATTTATTTGAAAACAACATTCAAAACACTATCGTTGATTGACCATTATCCTCATATCGTATGTTTTAATATTAAAGAGGTAACATATGAAAAAATTATAAATTGTCATACATTTATTTGTAAACAACATCCAAAACACTATTGTTGGTTGACCATTATCCTCATATGTAACAATGCCCAATCTACATGGACTTACTATTTTTGATATCGCGACATACAATATCCATTATTAAAAGAGAAATGATGCTAGATAGGACTCCACCTTTTGATATGTAAGCCGATAGGAGTGACAACTTTTTAACTCCTAAATAGGAGTATATTTTCCGTCCGTTCCAAATTTGCCCCTGTGAACTAAATACCCTGCACGCTGCCCCTTTCTCTTAACTCCCTCTTGCGGACAAACTCAGCCACGCACTTCAGCCAAAGCTTTGCCGAACAACGCACACAGCACAGAAAGGTAATGAGATAAGGCGAGCGCAGCGGTAGCGGCAGGCTCGAGCCGCGCGCCTGTCATGTTTTTCTCCTCAACTTGCTATGCTCCTCTTTCTTCTAGTCCCTTCTTCTCCTTGCTCGGCAGCATGCTTGGGTTTTGCTCCATGTCTGCGGTGTGAAGCTTGTGCTTATTCCAAATTCTAATCAATTTTTTGGTTTGCTTTTTGCTTAGTTTCCTTCTCCGGCTTATTTTCTTTTAGTATCTGCTCCTCTATGGGCCGGCACGCTCATCGGCGACAGCGGCGGCCGATATTGTCATGGAAGAAAAAATTGTAAGGGTGGCAGATCCGGCAGCAATAGTGAGGCGCTTTTGAGTTTTGAATTTTTCCTTCTTCCTCCTCTTGACTCCGACCCTGGCAAAAAAAACAACAACAGGCTTCCATTGTTTTTGTTTTGCTCCCCCAGTGACTCAATTTTGCTCCCTCTCTCTCTCTTTGTTGTTCTGAATTTGATATTAATGAGAATATTGATTGTACAAAACAGAGAATAAGATTGAGATTTGGTTGTTTTCCGATTAGGCTGTTGTATTGTGTGACCTACTGAGCTAATGACTTTCTCATTCTATAGTATTTTTCTTTTTTTTTGTTTGTTTGTTTTTGTTAATGTTTCTTTCTCATTCTATTGTTTATTTTTAATTTATTTTTTAATTTGTAGCATCTTTTATCAATGTTATGACTTTCACCTCACTGCTATATTTATAAATACTTGAAATTATAGAATTTTATTTGTCAAAATTATGAAGCTTTGTCATGACAAAAACAATGACAATGTCAAAATATTAATATTACAATATCACATGATAATGTTACAATTTAAATAGCATTATTTTTAATATATCAACACAATTTCAATATCAAAGTGGTTTCTTTAATTATAATTGTTTAATTTCATTTCATTGCCACCATCACAAAATTATCAAAACAAACAATGACATTGTGAACAAAATAGACAATGTCAACTAGGGGCATTATAATACATTATTATATAATGACATTGTAATTCATTGAGAATAATGTGTTTTTGATTTTTAAAATGTAATTTTTCATAGCATTGACTTTTTATTATATGTCATTTTTTATATCAATACCAATGTCATGGTAACTTTTGACATTGTCATATTTATTATCATTGACATTGCTCCAATGACATTATTTATAGCATTGTCATTGTCATTTTTCCCTTTGTTACAATGGTATTGTTACGATGACATTTTTACGACTCTGTGACATTTTCCCCACATTATAACAGTGCTGCAATATTGTAGTATTGACATTGTTTTAACAATGTCATTTTTATAGCATTGACATTATCATAACCGTCATTGACATTGTCATTATTACATTTTCATAATGATTGACATTCTTGTGACATTTTTATGACATTGTCATCGACATTCTTATGACATTGTCATCGACATTCTTATGACATTGTCATTGACATTTTTATGACATTATCATTGTGATTAATTAACATTACAACAATTTTATGACGTTGTGATTTTGTTATAAAATTAACATTGTTATTATAGCTATTGACATTGTCATAATTACAATGTCATTTTATAGCATTGACAATGACATTTTCTTGACTTGATGACATTTTTATACATTGACATTGTCAAAATAACAATGACGACATTGGAATAGACATTTTCATCATTACTCATTACAATGCTAAAACAATTTGAAAACCAAACAATTTCAACTTTCGTCAAAATAATACTCCGTATTACAAATTTACAATACAATTCGCAAAAAGTTATCAATGTCCAAATTAATAAATGAATACCCTGTAAAAAATAATCTGTATTACTTGCACTAAATGATTTTGCAAATAAAAAAAAAAAATTGAGATGTAAGCCAACAACAAAAAGAAACTAGTACAAGACTGCTACAGTGCGGAGAATCTATTTTTTTGATGTAGCAATCCTTACTTAGTTCTACACTTCTACGGTGCTACTAGCTCTAAGACCAGCTTACAAAAGTAGGCATACGGCACCGAAGAAATTCGCAAACAGAGAGGAAGACATGGAGAAAGTTGAAGGAGGAGAAGGGCTGGGGGAGGAGGATCGATATCGAACGAGGAGACTACTCGTCGGCCTGATGTCGGCGACTGCTCCGGTGATGACTTGCACTGCCTATAACCCGGCGGAAACCAGCGGCGGATCGCGGAGAATTTACCTGCGGACTGCGACCAACCAGAATAATTTCTCCTTTGAATTTGTTTGTTAAATCCTCTCGTTATCAGACTTGCAAAAGCGGATGGGTGGTGTCTTATGTTGAGAGCAGAATTTGTTGGGAACGGAGGGGTAGTTTTGTCTCAAAGTTCAAAATTGGTCCTATTTAGGAGTTTAAAACATTCGACTCCTATTTCAATTCCAGGCTCTACTTCTACTCCTATTTAGGTCTATATCCCTTATTAAAAACTCGACGATGCACAATATTACTAACTTTTACTAATGAATTCCTCAGACTCTTATGGATTTTTACTACATAACTAACCCTGATTTTCTATAGATAGCTTCTAAAGGAAGGAGGGGGCGGTTGTCCCTACTGCTACCATTTGCTGCTAGTTAGCCGAAACTGTAGTTTCTCCGAGGCTGGTACACAATCCCCATCTACTTCTCCATCGAACGCGCAAGCTTGCCATAGGCGAACACCCTAGCCTCTACCATAAGCCTCTGGTCCGCTTTCATATTTTTATAACATTCAAAAGTATGGTATTTTAGGATATTTTAGACAAATGTACGCATGTATATCAGTACATATATCATATACGGACTATGTGTTGCATGCCATTTTCTATCCTTAGTTATTATGTTCTGATCAGGCTTATTGGAATTCAACATTTTTTAACAAAAATGAAATACATGTTTAGCATTGGTTACTACTCCGTAATATATAGGAGTATATAAATATTGCCATTTTAAACAAATTCAATACTAACTTCACACCTGTTTTTTTTTAAAATCATTTTCAATTGATACAAAGTATTAGAGTAATAAGAAATCACCCTTACGAGCCAATTAGCCAGATGTTTCCCGGCATAGCAGAAATCAACCCGACGGGCTCACAGCCTAGTTGCACTCCGCTGCCCACCAACACCAACCCTGAGACACCGGCTGGACGCAGGCCCGCCGTTGCCCTGAGGTTTCTCCTATTGGTCATTTAGGGTTCATCGTCGATGGGATCTGGAGACCCCGTCATCCGCAGTGGTGAGGCCACTTTGCAGAGGGCGGGTGGGTGTCGCTCAGTCGCCTCTGTCACAACCACCGTCATTGCATTTTTTAGGATATAACAATCACAAAATACGAAAAGCAATAAGAAAACACAAGAATTTTGTAACACAGTTCGTCAAGAATGACTACGATTGGGGACGCTATCAAGCCAGGATGTTGCTATTATTTTCTGATGATGATTACAATGAGAGGGCGGGTATTTAAAGAGAATATAACCCTAACCCCAATAGGAAAACTCGCGGGCCCATAATATAAAAGACTCAAAAAATTTATACACCTTATAATGGGCATGGTATACAGTCTCTACACCTTACAATCTCCCACCTTGAGACTGACTTCTCACGTAACCTTCTCTTCTTCAATTCTTCCCATCTTAGCGTGGTAGCGTCAGGGCTTCAACTTCAAGTACCAAGGCCAATTGAAGCTATGCAAAGCTTCAATTTCTCTAAGGTTACAACCTTAGTAAACATGTTTGCTGGATTCTCACTCCCACGAATTTTCACAAGTTGCAATGTCTCCATCTCCAAAAGATGACGGATGTAGTGATACTTCAACCGAATGTGTTTGGTTCTCTTATGAAATGCTGAGTTGTTTGCCAAAAAGGTAACACTCTGACTGTCACGGTAAACTATGCCATTCTTGTACTCCTTTCCAAGTTCCCCAAGTAAATTCTGAAGCCACTCCATCTCTTTGCTTGCCTCAGTTATTGCCACATATTCAGCTTCAGTGGTAGATAATGGGACAACCTTTTGCAACTGCGAAATCCTAGAGATCGTTGTACCTCCAAATGTAAAAACATAACCTAGCAGCTCGACATTCTTTCCATCAAAACACAAGGCATTAGAAGCAGTACCTTTCAAATACCTCAAGATCAATTTCACAGCTTCCCAATGTCGTTTCCCTGGATCTCCCATAAATCTGCTCACTACTCCCACCGCATGTGCAATGTTTGGCCTCGTACACACCATAGCGTACATAATAATACCAATTGTCGAGGCGTATGTGATATTCTGCATTTGAACGCGCTCCTCCTTGTTCTTTAACGAGTCTTCTTTGCTAAGCTTGAAGTGACTACCCAATGGTACATTTTCTGGCTTTGCATCTTGCATTCTGAATCTTTCCAAGACTTTCTAAATGTATTCGGCTTGTGAAAGAAACAGTTTGCCCGCTGCCTCATCTCTCGATTCACATGCCCAAAATCTGTTTCGCCTCTCCAAGATCTTTCATTGAAAATGTTCTGACAACTGATTCTTTAACTTCTCAATCTCCTTTGATATAGCTCCTGCAATTAACATATCATCAACATATAACAGCAAGATAAGATAACAATTGTCAGTCCTTTTGTAGTAGCAACAATTATCGGTGTGGCATCTCAAGAAATTTATTTCGCGCATGAAACCATCAAATTTCTTGTACCACTGCTTCAGTGCTTGCTCCAACCCGCACAAGCTCTTCTCTAGCTTACACACACAAGATTTTCACTACCTTTTACCACATAACCCTGTGGTTGCACCATGTATATCTCATCATTCAAGTCATCGTGAAGGAACACCGTCTTTACATCCATCTGATGCAACAACCTTTCTGCAACAACTATACTCAACAATAATCGAATAGTAGTTAGTTTCACAACAGGAGAGAATATATCAGTGTAATTGATACCATAACGTTGCTCGAATCCCTTCACAACCAGTATATCCTTGTAGTGTTTGATACCATCTGCCTCATTCTTGATACGATAGACCCACTTGCAGTGTAAAGCCTTCTTTCCTCTTGGAAGCTCAACTAACTTCCAAGTACCATTTGATATGAGAGACGCCATCTCATCACCCATTGCAAGTTCCACTTGCTCTTATCATCAACCTGAATTTCCTCCGCATAGCACTCAGGTTCACCACTGTAAGTAAGCAACAAATAGAAATTAGAGGGTGAATACCTATTTGGTGCTCGTCAATCTCTATTAGCTAGGCCCCTGCCTTGGTGGTGTGGATGGCTCTTCATCACTGTCCACCTCTTCATCATCGACGAAATGGGCTTGGTATACAGTCTCTACACCTTAGAATTCAACTAGATCTGTCAGACGCTTCCATTGCAGACCCTTTGTGTTGGCGGACGGCATCTGAGTTCGGGTTCTGATTACGGCGGTTGTAGCTACCCTTTTGGTAACGCACCGAATTGAATCGATGTAGACAGCCTGTTCGCAGCTACCTCGCCAGATTTCTCTTGATTCGCCGGAGCTCCCTCAACGGCCTGAAACAATTGGATGTGAATTAAAAAGTTCATAATAAAAGGCACAAGAAGCAAAGTGTTAGGTGGCTAATTTTTTACTCTGTAAGGGAATAGGCCGGTCTGGTTGCTCAAGAGAAAGAAGAGTGACAGGTTGCACTCTGACACAGTTTACCTAGCACGGATTTTCAATGAACGTAAGACCCTGTATTAACTTCTACATTTTCCGGTGCAATCGTTGACCAACGATTAAGAAATTTTTGAGCGGGAAAAATGTCTCATTTCCCACTTACTTTATATATATATATATATATATAGAGAGAGAGAGAGAGAGAGAGAGTGTAACACCCCGGCCCCGTAGGACCCGAGGTAGTTACTCCGGACCAATAGTACTGTCCTCACAAACCGCCACCAGCCTTTTACGCGCACTTTGTCCTCACTCGTGCGCGCCCTGAGAAACTTCCCAGGGGGTCACCCATCCCAAGACTACTCCCGAGCAAGCACGCTTAACTTTGGAGTTCTTAGGTAATGAGCTTCCTTAAAAGGAGATGCACCTCTGTTGGTATGAGTAGTACTATTAATCCGTTTATATTAAATCTCAAGTGTTACAATCACCCCCACTTAGGATCACAACGTCCTCGTTGCGCCCTTAAACCAATCTCAATCAAATCCCAGAATCTTTTCCCCTGCTAGGTGTCTGCCCGATATCCAACAGATCAGCACACTGTCGCAGGGTTGCTCTGATACCACCTGTAACACCCCGGCCCCACCAGACCCGAGGTAGTTACTCCGGACCTCTAGTACTGTCCCCACAAACCACCACGAGCCTTTACCGCGCACTTTGTCCTCACTCATGCGTGCCCTGAGAAACTTCCCAGGGGGTCACCCATCCCAAGACTACTCCCGAGCAAGCACGCTTAACTTTGGAGTTCTTAGGTAATGAGCTCCCTTAAAAGGAGATGCACCTCTGTTGGTATGAGTAGTACTATTAATCCGTTTATATTAAATCTCAAGTGTTACAATCATCCCCACTTAGGATCGCAACGTCCTCGTTGCGCCCTTGAACCAATCTCAAATCTCAATCAAATCCCAGAATCTTCCCCCGCTAAGTGCTTGCCCGATATCCAACGGGTCATCACACTGTCGCGGGGTTGCTCTGATACCAACTGTAACACCCCGGCCCCACCAGACCCGAGGTAGTTACTCCGGACCTCTAGTACTGTCCCCACAAACCACCACGAGCCTTTACCGCGCACTTTGTCCTCACTCATGCGTGCCCTGAGAAACTTCCCAGGGGGTCACCCATCCCAAGACTACTCCCGAGCAAGCACGCTTAACTTTGGAGTTCTTAGGTAATGAGCTCCCTTAAAAGGAGATGCACCTCTGTTGGTATGAGTAGTACTATTAATCCGTTTATATTAAATCTCAAGTGTTACAGAGAGAGAGAGAGATTCCTGCCGATGTCACATAGCTGTACACAACGGATAGATTGCCACGTAAGCCCTAGGGTAAGTCCGGCCTCGCTAGAATCCTGCCCAGGCTCGAGATTTGCCGTCCAGGCCTGGCCTGATTGTGGGTTTCTTTCACGGGTCCCAATGAGGCCCAGTGACTGTTATTAATTAATCCCGCGTGTTTGGGCCATGGTCACGGTCCTACCATCACGAACCCCTTACTCTCTCAAATAAGTTGGGTTTGATTTTAGAAGAGTAACGAGCTTCAAATTTGAATTTCCACTTTTTGAGCTGTAGCGCAGGTCAATTCCCATGTCTTCCTCTCGCTTTGTTCCCCTTCATACTGTTTTCCCTAACGACGGGCTAGTTCCAACTGGCCTAAAATCCCGGATAGAATTGGTCTTTAATTTAATGTAGCATAGAATATAATCCTACTGGCCTTTAATTTAATGTAACATAGAATATGTTGATTGTTTTAGGATTTTTTATAATTATGTGATATAATCTGACACAAGTTCTGTTGTTCTAGTTCTAAATTGATGTAACATGAATTCTAATTTAATATTGAATAACGCATGATCTGGTTAGAACTGGTCTAGTCTGGTAAATATCTGGTATATAATTTTTTTGAATTACTTATTATGATTATTAACGTAGATGCCTGGTCTATGTTCTTTGAGAACATTTTACATAAATAATGTATAAAACTATATTGAATTCAAATCGAAGACAACAAAAGTTCCCATAATTCATAATTTTTTTTTGAAATTTTAATTTAATGTGACGTATGAGTGCTAATGTAATGTGGACAAAATTCACTATATAGTACTCGGTAGTTCTAATTTGAATGTAATACTTCGTACTTAGGATAGGAATTACAAAGAAAGGATAATTAATGAATGCTTATACCTAGAATCCACTAAAATCAATGTTTATTAAGAATGTTTATTAAGAAGATGATACGTAGTAAAAAATTTCATTATATTTGAAATGTACTCGTATTATTTTGTAGAGAGTATCATATTGATTAAATGATTAGTGGAGAGTTGAGCTCTCTCTCGCACGAATAGCTCACTTGATCGGGTTATGAGAAATTCGAATCCCCACAAGTACCGGTGAAGATTAAGAACCTGAAATAACTGGACCTCTAACGCCCATGGGTGAGTCACCTTGACTTACTCTTTAATCATGTTTGGGAGAGTTTGGGCTCCTTGCGTGGGAGATTCCACCTTTTGATCTCAATTCATTCATTTCATTGTGGATAAGTGGCAGGCAGTCTCCCAAGGCCTGCCGGAGGCCGGAGGGACATGAGGAGTGTTGGCAAACGAGGAGCCACGGAACAACGCTGTGGCTTGAAATTCTCGATTTCTCGTTTTCGGTTTGTCCCTTTCCAACTTTCTCCACTCCTTCCCTGCTCCCGCTACCCCATCTGCTCCTGATCTCTCTCACTCTCTCTCAAGGGTAAGCCTTAGCTGAATTCTTCTGTTCTACTATTCCCTCATCTTCCTCTCCTACTTGTCTTTTCAAAATTTCTTTATGGGCTGCGTCTTTCTCTGTTTCAGCGTGAGTTTTCTCTAGTATTTCAGCTTCACCAGAAGAAATCCATTGCCACTTCATATCTTTGATATTACTAATTATCAATTTGATCCTCTTTCTTGGCCGTCGCTCTTCGAAAACGCCATCTGTAAGGCTTAGTTCGACGAAATTCCTTTACTTCACAATTATCTGTACACTTGTACAGCAATCATTTTCAAACTACGAGTAGTAGATTTAGTGCTATGCTGTTTTTTCTGTGCAGTTATTTTGATATTAAAGAATATATTTTAATTTCACTGCAAGTCTACAAGGTTACGAATGCAGAATTCTTTGTGTTTGATTACTTTGTTTGGATTCATTTACTTTCAAGAGGTAGTTTCAATCACCAAAAAGGAGATCCCATTTTTCTTTGGTCATATTTGGCAGAGTGGTGTTAGAATTGAACTCAAATAAGTGACCCAAAAATTCCAAAAATAGAAATAAGGGACTCCCAACCTAGGGCAACATTTCCCCCTATATTTATCAATAAATGAACTTTTGGTGTCCTTCACGCTTGATACCTTCAATAAATAGGCCAGTTTCTTAATCTTGAACACATATTTGTGGTCTAAATAGTGACCACATATGGCTATATGCAATAACCAGGTATGTATCTAAGTGAGTGATAAGAACAATGGGTAGAACCTTGTATCTAAGTCTACTCCTTCAACTCATCTCCTACGATGTTTGTTTTGGCAAGGATAAGTTAACTAAGATCCTTGCCAAAATTACTATAGGCAGCACAAAAAACCTCTATCTGAAAGGAAATATAACATATACGGCTTTCTGACAAAGAAAACATTTGCCGGAGTTTGTCTTGCATAAAGAATCTGTCTCAGACTTACTTTAGAGTTTTTATTTATTTTCTCACAATTAGTTGTGTTTGTCATATGTTTCGTCAACAAGTAATGCGTTCGTCCTCTTTAACAAAGTGGCATAACGAAATTTTAGATTAGGCTTTGTAAATGTTGAAATCGTCTTCAATCGTATTAATTCGTACTCAACAAAACTGTCATAACTCATAATTATGTAAGGTATTAGAGGAGGCATTAAACATTTTGTTCTTTGAACCAAAACTTTCAATATAATGACAATCTGATAAATTGATGTTGCCCAACAAATGTTGGACACTTAATATAGATATTGCAGAAGATGTGTGGTATTAAATAATGAGCCTATGTGGAAAAGAAAGGAAAAAAATCAAATGTGGTGGTCTCTTGTGTGTTGGCAGCTTTGCTATTATGAGTATTCTTTTACGGTCCATTTGGAACCTGGAAAATGTTAGGTAATGAAAACAGGAAGGAATGTAGAGGGTGATTTTGGCAAGGAAGAAAATGTGGAGAAACCGAGAAAATAAAGAAATGATTGAATTCAATAAATCAATTTTAGATATTTGTGTTCAAAGTTCAAACTCATTATTTTTATAATTTCTATCATTGAAAAGATAAAAGTTCTGCATATGTAAAACTTTAAAAAGGTTTAAGATAATGTGTCTTCTTAGGTATTTTTCAAGATAAAACCAAACAAAAGTACATCTTCCTTAACACCCCCCATCCTTACCTATTCCAGTATACAAACATAGCGTTGGTAAAACGTTTTTCTTTCAGTTATTTGGAAAATCAGTTCTAACTTTTACTATATTTGCTTTGGTTTAGGTTCCCTGACTACACATCTTGAGAATCTTTGTTTTCTGGGCCTAACCCTTTCAGGTCGTATCTACTTCAAACAAGATCTACACGATGGCCAGACCTATTGGGATTATCTATTCTTCTTCAAAAACACCTCAGCTTCTTTTATTATATGCTAACACACAAGATTTTGGGCATATCAAACAAAGTTTCTGGCAACCTTATAGAAAGCCAAATATTGCTACACAAGGAACTTCTGTTTTGTGCCACTGTACAGAAACTCGCCATGCTGAAAGAGAAGAATGCATCAGAGAGTATCTTGATTGTTCAGACTCATCCAAGTATGTTGTGATCAATTCTAAATCGTGATTTCTCAAGATTGAATGTCTTACACATCTAGTAGGAATTAAACTTATAGGGTGTGTTTGGATCCCTGAAAATGCGAAGGAAATGTAGTAGGGGGAGGGGGGTCGATAAGAGAACTGGATGGAAAGAAGATTTTAAAAAACATATAGACTAAAACTAAATAAACGTATTTTAGATTTTTTTTAAAACTCATTTAATTTACGTTTTCCAGTTATTAAATAAGTAATAAAAATGATAAATCTAAGTATATGTTATCATATATGTAAAATTAATCATTTTTATTTATTTATAGTAATACAATGAAAAGCCAACCATGATAAAATAACTTCCCTTAGATTTGTTTCTTTGCCTAGCCTTTTCAACATCTGAACATACCCTTGGTTATAAATGGAAGACTAAAACGTGCAAGTAGCATCATGATCTGTTGTAAATGTGATATGGGCTCAGTGCTATTTTATAAATTTAAGCTAGTCCTGGATCAATGTCACCATTTATTTTGAAATGTTATTATTTTCACATACATCATATGTTAATGATCTTTTTCAATTCGGTGAAGAAAGTTAGTTGCATGCCTGTCTCATACAATTCATGTTTTCACCTATAACTTTTCTAGACTGCACGTCCAGCTCTGATGCTTCCTTCTGCTATTTCATTGGTTAATAGTAATTTAACGTTACCTTTATAAATTGAATTGTAGTATGACTTACAGATTTTTTTACTGAATCAGTATGCAAGGTGAGGATAAGCATCCAGCCCTGTCAGGGAAATATGTTACTGCAAGTCAGGGATTAGCTGAAGCGTGCAAATTTGTTTATAATGATGCTAAGTTTGTAAATGAAAGGGCAAAAAATGACATCATATTGATTTCTCGGTAAATCATTTGCCACAATTATCTTGTATCTTACTTAAATGCATAAGTGAAGGTACTCAGATTATTTATTTATTAACAGTGGCATAATGAGGTTGGATGCTCGTGCCCGCCATGATGTTGCTTTTCTTGGTTCTGAATTTCTTAAACTTGATGGTGGGAGTCTTTGTCTTCATGGTCCTGTAATCTTTTATACCATAATATAAACTCTGCTTGTTTTCCTTTTGTTGCTTGTTTTGCCAATTTTGCTTTACTGCAGAATACGTAGGTGCAGAATATTAGAGCTCTCATCCCCCATGTTAGGTTAGGGTTTGTTTCCTTCTCCCTACGGCGGCGCTGTGAGGAGACTTTGATTTTGCTTGGCTTTTTTCTTTTTCCTGCTGCTTTTGATTGGGACTAGAGATCAAATTTTAGCATAATAGATCGTAGACCTTTGGTAGATCTTTATGCAATAATATCGGGGCTTAGTTTTTTAAGATGCAGTGTTGTTAGAGAAGGTGTTATTGGGAGTGCTGTTGGGTGTGGTATGAAGATGGAGATCATTAGGTTAAAAAATAGAGAGGTGACGGTTTCTAGGCAGCCTGCCAAGAGGGCTTGTTCGACAAATAGGCCCAGGCATGGCACTGTCCTCAGGGTGCGTCTCTGTCCGGGAATGGGGGTGCAGTGATCTAAGGTGACTATGGTGGTCAAGACTTCAAAGAAGATTTGTGGTTTTAATCCTTCTATCGATTTCCTGTTTTTTGTAAATTTTGTTTAGTTCCAATGTTTGCACAATCCAAGGGTTATAACTATGTTTGTTAGCCATGCTAGGATAGTTGACTTGTCTAACGTAGTAACGTGAGATGAGTGAACACTGACCAGTCCTACTTAGGAATGGCATTTCAATGGCTAGTCTAAGGGTTTGTTTATTTTCTGCGTTTGGCTGTCTTGTTCTTTGTTTGTTTTGCTCCGACTTAGGGGGTGTTTGAAATTGATTATGCTTTTGCTCCCCTAGCTTCTCAAAAAATGCTTCTAGGAGTAATTTGGAGCACTTCGAAGCACTTCTGCACTTCTACCCAAACACTCCAATATCTAATTCTACCTCTTCAAGGAGCAGAAGCAATTTTAAGAAGCAGACCCAAACACACCCTTAATAATATAATTCCCCCTCCCCAAAAGTTGATTTTGGCTAAAATGGATGTTACAAGACATTCTTCTTTCAAAATAATTCAGCTTATTCGGGCAAGTAACCTTACCAAACGGGCCCTTAGACATGTTCTACTGGTCCGAGGTTATAGAATGTGTGAAATGAACTAGGATGGTAGTATTCGATTTCTAAAGGACGTTACCTCTAGAATTGTAAGAAAACAAGCTCTTTCAGCTATAAACCGGTTATATTAAAGATGAGCCTGAAGATTAACATTCTTATTGGTAGCCCGGGCTAGAGAAGACACTGAAAAAATTGACCATGATGTCAAGAGAAAAGCTGAAAGGCTGCATCATGTTGCCATTGTAAGTTTTTCTTTTTCTTTCTTCTTCTTCAAGCTATTCCTGGATCTAGAAAAAAATCTATAATGCCCATTTCTTATCAGATTCTCAAGAACACAGCTGAATCAAGACTGAAAAATGCTGCAGACCTTCATTGGAGCAATGGCGCCTTAGAGGTTTCTCTTTCCTATCATTTTCATGATCTTCATACTCCATATTAATCTGATATAGGCGTATTTCTTACTATTATTACTATTACTATTATTATTATTATTATTATTATTATTATTAATACTAGGAAAGTGGAGAATTGTTGCGCCATGTGAGCTAGGTTTGGGGAGTTTGTTGGGAAAAGAGGTGGAGCTATATACTCCAAACTCCTCACACCTCATTCATTTGGAGTTATATACTACGTATTTCTTAATTTTCTCTTTTCACCTTTTTTAATAATCTACATTATTAGTTGTTAAGATATGAATTACTATATTTTTAATTACAAATATAATAATTCTATGTACTATCTAAAATGATAACTCATTCTCTTCCATTGGACCACACAGAGTTTAATGCACCAAACTCCCTCATGATATATAAATTCTGCGCATTAGAAATTAGTTCTTTGTATAATATTATACAATGTTCTGTATCAACTTGCAATTCAGCGATGTGAGAAAACTTCTTATATTCAGGCTGATTTGCGGCATGCTGATTTTGTTGCCAAACAACGTGCAATGGAAGATGCTTTTATGGCAGTGAAGGTGTTCTTATTACATAAAATTATGAGTCTTTGCCACTTTTAGTCCTCCAACTATTATGTTAGTGACATAACTGACACTTTTATTACTTAACTTTGAATTTTTCCACATTGAGTCCTTCGAGTATTATGACAGAGACACTGTTGGTACTTGTCTTTGAAATTTTCCACATTTAGTCCTTCAATTTTTATAAAAGTGAGACTTTTAGTCCTTTCAATGTGATTTCGTCACAATAAGTAGATGACTAAAAATGTCTGTGTGATAATAGTTGAATAACCAAAAGTGACAATTTTGTAATAGTGACTAAATGTGGAAAAACTCAAAGTCAGGGATCAAAAGTGTCACAATATTTGAAGGAGTTACAGTGGAAAAGCTCACAGTTAAGTACCAAAAGGTCCAAAAGTGTCACTAGCACAATAGTACAAGGACCAAAAGTGGTGGCAAAATCTCTAAAATTACTGTCAATTCAAAGTAATTTTCATTCATGATAGTTATGGCATTTTCTTGATTGGCATGTTTGCTTTCTGGATTTTCAGTTCGTCAAAAACATTCATGACATGATGGTGAACAAAATGTGCAATTTGTAAGTTCTTTTTTGTTTGTTTGAACACAGATTGCTTGAAAAAGAAAATAGGGAGGAAATAGGGATGAAATTTTGAAGGAAAGAAAATGTGTGTGTGGGGCTTGCTTCAAACTCAATAATCAAATTTAGATTTGTGTTCAAAGTAATTTATATATTATACGTAGTATAAAACTAAGAAATTTAAATGTATATTTCTATTTAGATTTAGACTAGGGACCATTTCACTGGTATTTTCTCTTTTTTTTCTCCTACAGCTTTTACAGAGTTCCAAACATAGCTTTAGTGATGGTGATTATTGCATCCTCTTATCACAGATAAACCGAGTAATGTTTGGCACGTTAATTCTGTGTAATAACAGGAATATATGTTCTCTTAATGCCACCATGATGACTCAGCACATAACACTTGAAAAGAATGGAAAAAGTCTTACATTTCTTCATGGAGAAATGTCTGCTGAGCGTATTACTGCTGTCCAGGTTCTAAGGCTATAGCAACATTTCAAATGTGATTATATTGGAAGGTTTGGACGTGAATCACTTATATTGTTTTATCTGATTATTAATTACAGGAAGCTTATTGGGATATAGCATTTGCGCTATCTGAAGCTGATGGGATTGACTACACTGATCCTGAAGAGGTATGAATATAAGTGGATTACCGATTTGTTGTGTTATGTTAAACACACAAAAAGATCCTTAACCTGCAAGGCTAGATACATGAACCCAAGCTTAACCTAATAGGCCGCCCCAAGCCATTTGGTGGGTGAGTACCCAACAAACCACCATCTGATCAGACTTATATCATGTGGGGCTTTATCAGCAAAAGATCCTCAGGTGATATTTATATTATATTGATATGTTTGGCTCAAATATAGTGGAGAACCTCAATCGACTGACCCCCAAATGGGCTGCGCGAAACCATTGAATGGGTGGGCGACTCACAAATCACCTTGAAACCAAATTTTGATGTTATATTGAATTAGGTCTAGCTCACCACAAAAGGATTCTCGAGATGTGATGAACATGCTAGAGTCAAACAAATTAGAAATCCAATGTGAGATCCTGAAGATGTGTTATCATTTGACTTGCTTTTCCTGTTGGAGCAGCTGGAGTTGTTGGTTTCCACACTAATAGATCTTGATGCAATGGATGGTAAAAGTACTGTGTCTCTATTGGCTGAGTGTTCAAGTTCTTCTAACGTGAATACAAGGTTTGACGACGACTCGATCTAACATTTCCTTCGTCTTTACTTGTGCAACTTCCATTTGGAGGGCCTTGAAATTATATCCCCACTTGTATTATTTGGAAATCATTCACTATTCATCTTACTATTTTACCCTTTCAGTCTCTTACTTCTTGAAATGAGTTGACGCAATTGGTCTTACTTGAGGGACAATTTGTGAAAAAGAATTAACATTTTACATTTTTACTTGATTCCTGACATTTTTAACAACTCTCCTCCATAGGAAAGCATTAGCTAATGCACTATCCGCTGCACCGTCTATGTGGACTCTAGGCAATGCAGGAATGGGGGCTTTGCAGGTATTCAGTTAGTGTCCTATATGTGCCTTTCAATGTGTTCTGATAAAATATCTCTCATGAAGCAACGTGAATAAACTGGAAACCCCCTTTTGATTGTTGTGATTGCAGAGGCTGGCAGAAGATAGCAACCCAGCCATTGCAGCGGCGGCATCCAAAACCATCAAAGAGTTAGAGAGACAGTGGGAAATAGAGGAGGGAGATAGCTGGAGGTTCATAGTTAAGGATACCTCACAACATGATGATGATAATGATGATGCAGGCGTCTAATAATCAAATAAAAATCTATACATATACATACATAAGTTAACAAGAGAGATTCTGCTCAACAACTCAACTGTTCAGATATTTAGATGTTCTTTGGATTATAATAATACTGATTAGTTAATTATGTAATATCAGACTTATGTTTGGTACAACAAGTATATGTCAAGGTTATCGCTTGGACTAAAGGCTATATGCCTGGTGCTGCGTTTGAGGTCACTGAATTTGAAATGCTAACTAAATGAAGTAGTGATGTCAACTGAATTAAGTAAAACAATAATGACATGTAAAAATGAGAACTCACAGTAACTACAAGGCCTTGTTCGGCATTTAGCGGTTATGAGAAGCAGTTTCTGCCGGTCACTTTGACCAGCAGGTTGAATTGGTAAGTTGCACAAAATGTTGGGTAAATTAATTTTATACCTTGCGGTTGGCATGTAAATTTTTAGTATGGTACCGTGCGATGCACGGAACAATAATTATTACATAATCACACTTGTAGTATTTTTCAAATGCAAAGAAAACAAATTCAAAAACAATTTAAATAATGCACATTTGTAAAAAAAATACACATTTGTACTCATTAAAAAGCGTACACACATGTGCCCAAGACACATTACAAAAAAAATGTACATCAATGTGTAATTTGTAAAATACTCCAATGTGTCGGTTATATTTTTGTTCTTGTGAACTCCAAAAAAAAAACTGGACATGCATGCATATGAACGCACCGGTATTACTCATATTACTCAGTTTGATATTAATAATTGTCACAGCCAAAGTGATGTAGAAAAATAAAAAATTAGTTTCATAATATCACATCTGGAGAAAAATGGAGATTTACCTTAATAGAACTAAAACATCGCTTTTTCCCCAAAATAGGACCAATTAGTTTAAACATTCTTAAATAGGACTTTTTATATGTGATTGGACCAAAATATACTCACTGCTGCCCCTGGACTGCTACTTGCCGCCGACCACCAGCCACCGCCTCCGGACCACCACCGGAATTTACCGCCGACCACTGTCGCTATGCTGCCGCCACCGACGGACTGCCTTGGTTGTGCAAGGAAACTGGTGGGGGGGGCAAGTATTTAGATCAATAAATTAATTAAATAGAATTAGGGGTAAAAAAGTAAAGTTAGTCCTATTTAAGGAAAAACATACATGCGATGCTATTTGAGGAATAAGCTTGAGTTTTGGTCTTATGTTGGACAATTTTCTCGGAGAAAAATGGAGAAAACGTTTCCTATAAAAACATTTAGAATAACATTTCTGAGATAGTAGTCATCACAAATAAAACAGCAGTTTGTGAGACATGTACACTTGTTTTTGTGAATGACCTCCGAGTGCCAGAGAAGCCCATTTCTAGTATACTAACCGTCCGTGTATATAACCATGTTGGATTTGCGATTCCGTTTAGCGGGATAAACCGTCCTGTCGATTAACTTGTCTATGTTTTGTGCGGCAACAGGTTTTGTTAAAAAACTGTCATACATGGAACGGCAGTTTTTTTTTTAATTTATTTTTTCCAATATCTTTTTATTAAGGGAGGGTTAATTATCAAAATAGGACTAAAAGTCACTCACTTTGCACAAATAGAACAAAAAAATAAACTATGTTTCCATAAGACTAATTATGTGTGTTGTTAGGAATATTTTATTGTGAATCAAACTTGTCTTTATGTCTTGTTAAATAAATAGAATAGGTTTATCTTTAGTAGTATTTATTATGATGTAATAAATAGGTAGTAAGGGAATAAGGCCCAAAAAGGCCTTAGGCCCAAACTCCTAAGTTACCTTTTTAGGAACCTGCACTGTGCCTATAAATATGCGTGTTAGTGTACAGGTCCTAAGGTCGATCATTCCATTTCAGCAATCACTCTGTATAAGTTCTCGATATATTAGAAAGAAGATTTTCTCTGTTCTCGATATTGTCTTTATCATTATCTGATCTTCTTCTTCTCTATATTTTGATGAATATCATCTAGCCGTTAGTTAGTCTACAGTTTTCTGGGACCAACACAGCTTGTGATCCCGGTTTTTCTTGTGACAGATCGCCAACACAACAGCAAGCTCCCTCTAGCCCCTCTGATGAGCATATTCACGATGAGCTTGAAGACATTCTCGTTCATGATAAGTGGCCTCGCCAATGGACAGAGTGGAACGAACTAGAGATGGAAGCTGATCAGTTTGAAATACAACGAAGAGCCTATCTCAGAGAGCTCCTAGCTAGATGTGCTGCTGATATCATACGGCTTGATGACGGTGAACTCAAGGAAGGAGAGAACTATCAGGATCCTCCCAAGGAGCTAGATTCAATAATCAGAAAAACAGCGGCTCAGATGCCCAAAAATGAAAAGCCCTGGGAGAATATAAACATCAATGCTCCCTTCCAAGAGGAAATCAGAAGGCAAATATGGCGTAGAACGGACAAAGTCAAGGAACTCGACAAACTCAAAATCCGCGGTCTCAATCATCTACGAGGAAAGAACAAAGGCGGACAACTGTTCCTACTTAGTCACAGATATATGGGAAAACAGAGAGAAATATGGCAACATGAGCTTCAGACTGCTAAGGACCCAGTATGGAGTATCCTGAATGTAGCCGAAGTCAATCATCAAGATATCAAGCTCTCTGTTTACCGACTACAGCGCTCTAACGGGACTGAATTTATCTGTAAAGAAAACGATCTCTATATGCTAAAGATGGATGACATTTATCAAATGTATCTAGCATTCCAAGAACTTCCCGTTACTCGCGACAGATCTACACAAGAAGGCTTTGATGCACTCAAACACTTCAAGATCAGACAAGTCAAATTCTTTGCTACCCATGATCTTCAGATGGCCCTAGAAACCAATCTGCCAAAGACAAATCTTGCAAGACCAAAGTTGTACGGACCAGAGCTAGAAGATTTCCCTGCATATTACATCTTTGATAGCCCGGTCACAATCATCTATTTGAATCATAACGGTGAGAAGCGTCTGTTGGTGATTGACGAGATCAACAAGTATAGTGATGGGACACTGAAGGTTGTGAGGGAAAAGCTGTAACCCATTAGAAAGGACTTTGAAGAAAGACAACAGAAGTATGCAGATGCATCGGATGCTGAACTCAAGGAAGCACAAAGGGTTGATAAAGTCCTGAAAGCTATCGAGAAACAACTTGACAGGAGAAGTTCACTCAGAAGCTATGAGCATGCACTTAATCTCCGCAAACATTATTACAGAGCTCAAAAATAAAGAGATACTGAAGCAAGACGGCACTTGATCACAAAGGGGGAGATTGTTAGCAATATTTTATTGTGAATCAAGCTTGTCTTTATGTCTTGTTAAATAAATAGAATAGGTTTATCTTTAGTAGTATTTATTATGATGTAATAAATAGGTAGTAAGGGAATATGACCCAAAAATGCCTTAGGCCCAAACTCCTAGGTTACCTTTTTAGGAACCTGCACTACGCTTATAAATATGCGTGTTAGTGTACAGGTCCTAAGGTCCATCATTCCATTTCAGCAATCACTCTGTATAAGTTTTCGATATATTAGAAAGAAGATTTTCTCTGTTCTCGATATTGTCTTTATCATTATCTAATCTTCTTCTTCTTCTCTATATTTCGATGAATACAATCTAGCTGTTAGTTAGTCTATAGTTTTCTAGAACCAACATGTGACTTGGACAAATATACCCTTATACCTATTGGAATGTTTTAATTCATAATAAAATAATAAAAAATAACAAAAAATCGTAAAATATACCAAAAATTAATAAAAATATTTTAAATAATAATAAATTAAAAAAATAAAATAAATTAAAATAAATTAAAATGTAAAAAACAAAAAAAATTATCACCGCCGCCTCTGCCGCCCCGGCACCACCACCTTCAGTCATCTGGGGAAAAAATGCCAAATTTATTATGAATGCCATATTTTTGGCAGAAGTCAGAATGATTTAAGTTGGCAGAATAAAAATGTTGGCATTCTCAAAGAGAAATATTTAAAAATGTTGGCATTCTCAATGATTAAACATTTAATTATGTCTTTTGACCATCTTTTACTCATATTTAAAGGAGGTGTAAAAATGGAATGAAGAAATAGATATGTTTCCAATAGGACCAATATAGTCCTATTTTGGAATAAAAAACATAGCAAGTCTTATTTTGAGTTTTTGTCATAGTTTTAGTCCTATTTGAAGTCATTTCTATTTTATTAATCCTTTTGACATGTTATGTATACTAATCTAAAAAAAATGAACTGACACGTCTGAAAACTTCCACAGACACCGTATCTTGCCATGTCAAACATTATGGGCCAACCCCGCAATTAACTTTATCTTATATCTCAGTACATTATTGTGATTTTTATTTTGTGGGCCGAACGCCAACCTTTGTTGGGGAGGCCCATGGCCGGCATGTTTTAATTTTTGTAACTTGCCGGCAGAAGACGGTTGGTAACTTGGTTTCCCTTTTTATATATTAGTATAGATATTGAATAATTTATTATCAAAAGCCAATATAAACGGTACTATATATTATCCGCATTTTCAATTCGGCATTTTGTCCCAAATGGCTAAGCTCACCATTGTTTACCAAATATATACATTTTCTATTTCCATCAATAGAAAATGACAAAGTGAGTAAAAAGGACGAGTTTTTGCCAAAATGTAATTTTCCTGACTAGTAATTTCACAACGTTGTTATTTAATTTTTCTCATGTTTATTATCCAACTAGTAACGCTTACTTTATTGAAACCTTCCAATATGTGCATTTCGTTTGTGAAAAAATGAAAATTATGTTTTTAAAATATTATGGGAGAAATAGTGATATCAGGGCCGGTCCCGAAGAAATGTAGACTGATGGAGTATATGGTCCAGGAACCCCCGGCCCCTAGACTCCTACTTCTCCTACACAAGTCCATTGAGCTCAGGGAACAACTCAGGCCCAAATACAACGGCCCAAGCCTCATAGAAGCCCAGAATACACACCGGGGTGCCTTCGGCCTCCTTGGCCGAAGGCTCCAGAAACTCACGAAGTAGCCCTCTCTGACATACGAAGCTACTGGGAGAAAACGGCGAAAAACATGAGCCTTCGGCATTACCAAGCCCTCGGCATTAGCGAAGCCTTCGGCTGAACTTAGCCCTCTGTCACTCGGGGCCTTCGGCTACATGAGGCCTTCGGCTACACAGGGGTCCTGGTCGCATGGAGCCCTCGGCTACACCAGGAGCCTTCGGCCAGACACGCTCAATCATCGAAGATTCCT